AAGCTTAAAGATGACTAAGTTGGCCCAAGGGCCTGAAGCAGTTTCATAATAATGTTTTTTACTTACTAATTTAAGTGACTGGATATCATTCTATCATAGGAACATTTTAAACATTTTTCACGTTTCTTTTTAATTCTTTTTTCCCTTTTAAAGAACAGCATTTACATATGGAACAATTTCCTATCAAGGGGAATTTTGAAAAATCAAAATTGTATATGGTTTTATCCTCCACTCAGCGATGCTATTTCTAGAAATCTACACTGAACGTACACATTTACATATACCACAAAACATTTCCATAATGCTGAGCCACCCAGGTGCCCCAAGAAAAAAATATTTTAAGGTGATTTGGACCCAATCCTGGTTGCACTTCCTTAGTTGGCTATAGCCTAAGGACCAAGAGAACTACAAAAAATATAAAAATGGACTCAGTAGTAAAATTATACTACTATTATAATAATTTTGAAGCTGTTTTATGTATATAAGATTCAACCGTTTAAAGCAAATGTTACTAGTTACCCAAGGTATTGCAAGATGAGAGAAAATAAGTATAATAATGAAAATATAAGTTAAAGAACCCTGTAATGTAATATTTAAATAGAAACTATCAACATGAACTCATAAATTACTATAGAATATTTCTTAGCTCTGCCTACTGAGAGTCTAAAGCAAGTCAGAAACATCTAACCTGAGACAATTCAAGCTTAAAGGCCTACCTTTCAATATATAGGAAACACAGGCATGGATGGATATGTAAAACAAGCTGCAGGTCAACTATCAGAAAAATTCCAAATGTGCAGTATTCTGACAAAACTGACATGGTAGCCTTAAAAAATAAAGTGCCATTAAATATTGGGGGTTTGTCCTAATTAAAGAGACCAAAGAGAAATCATGACAAACTCAGTTACTGAATCCACGTGGTAGTTATGCTATGCAGGTGTTAATGGTACTAGTTTTTCTATTTTTCTGTGTGCTTAGAAGTTTTTCCAATAAGGGGAAAGGCTAATCCAATTTTAAAAAATCTGAATTAAGATTCTGGGTGCCTGGGTGGCTCAGTCTATTAAGCATCCAACTCTTGACCTCAGCTCAGGTCTTGATCTCAGGATCGTGAGTTCAAGCCCCACATTAGGCTCCATGCTGGGCATGGAGTCAAATAAATCAATAGGTAGGTAGGTAGGTAGATAGATCATAGAGAGAGAGAAAGAGAGAAAGAAAGAAAGAAAGAAAGAAAGAAGGGGAGAGAGAGGAAAGAGAGAAAGAAAGGATTTATAATGACATTACACGGAGATGTGAAACATGGTCCAGTACTGAATCTTGGGTTGTTAGGTTGAGTAGTAACAGCAATAGTAGTATTTAGTAGTAGTGTTGGAAGGGCATTTGAGGAAATTTGATTAAGGCTAACTATTACAAATTAAAACCTATTGACGTAGAAAGTTAGAAGCCATTAATTGGGAAACCTAAGCAGAAAGTCCAATAACTTAAACAGAATGTATAGTATGGTTTCATTTTGGTTAAAAAATGAAAATATACAAAAGTTGACGTGATCATCTCTGGTAGGAATATGACATTTTCTTATTTCTACTTACCTTTTTTGGTCATGTTTTACAATGAATATATGTGCCTTTATGATAATTTGTAATTTCATTGTATAAATATATTTTATAACTAATAGTAAGTATTTTAAAACAAATTCTGCAACACCGCTATAATGAAGACAAAATTATGTTTGTACAATGTATTTAACTTCAAGTATTACCTCCATACAAAATAAATTGGAAGTTTTTGGGGAACCAAAGTAGCAAAATACTTTGTTCTTCAGTATAATTATTAAAATATTAAATATTGGAGGGTTTTTCCCAAATTTGACAATATATTGAATTCATCATATTTTAAAGCCTAAAATGATTAATCTATTTTGTAAATGATTGTCTTACTTTACAATATCTCCAGAGTGGTTAATCATAAAAAAAGAATTGCATCTTTTGAGTTTTTATTTTTCTTACAGAGTAGTCATGGGGAAACATTTATCCTCATTAGTTGAGTTTTCGTATTTCCTTGCAGTCCTCTCCATGTTCCAGTTGCTAAAAATGACAGAGAAATACTGGGGCTTTTTGTCCTCGCCACATGATGAGGACAACAATATTGTAAGCTTTTATGGCAAGAGAAATGTTAGTATCGTATATTTTAGGATCATTTGTGTCTCTGAACATATTCAACCTATTAAAATACTTTTTCCTTTCATTTTACTAACTTTTTAGAATATTGAAAGGTAGATCTGGGTTAGAACTTTATTATAAATACGAATGTTAGGAGGCTTAAAATGCACTGGAAAACAGAATTCCAGGTTTATGAAATACAAAAAATAATGCTATATTCCCTGTCATTTCCCATTCACTCAACCAGCTTTTGGGGAACAGGTACTGAAATGTTTGTTAGTCTTGATGATTCTGCACTTTTTTTTAACAAGTTTCGTTGGCAGACGTGTATCTACGTCTGTGTTCGACATGTGCTTGTAGTCCTGTGGTTCATCTCAACTTATGCCACCCTTTCTCATTTATACTGTCATTTAAAAAATAAAAATAATAAACGGTACCCCAGGCACTGAGATTGTAGCAGTGAACAGGAGATAGACAAATGTTAAAAAACAAAATTCAGTAGAGTAAATCTGAAGATCTAATTGGCTTTATTCAGTGATTCATTAACCAAGCAGTATCCCATCTACCAAAGAGAATAGAATTCCTGAAGAGCTGTACGAAGAGAAGGCTTTTATAGGCCGAATGGGAAGTGGTGCACAAGGAAGTTTTAGCTAAAGAAAAGAAAGAACATATTGGGCAAGGTCACCTTCCCTTGGGGGGGAATGGCAAGGGGTCTTGTCTTGCAGACGATCTCACTAATGCAGATCAGGACCTTCCAGAGTGATCTGTTGAAAATTCCACTCTTGGGGGAGGCTAAAGCTGAAATTAAGTTTGCTACTAAGTTCTAGTGGAACTTAGGAAAAATGACTCCATTTGGGGGCCTGTTGTTAAATTTCTTCATAAACCTCATATTCTAGTGATGAAGATAGACAATACATTAGAAATTATAGAAATAAGGGTCATGATGTAAATAAGCAAAAAGACAAGATTAAGAGTTGAATCAGGTGAAGAGGAGAGTTTATGTCTGGAAAAGACTTATCACGGAAGACCTTTCTTTCTGAGTGTGTTGTCTTTGAGCTGCAATCTGAGTGAAGGTCAGTTCACAAAACTGAAACAAGCATCTTGACATGGGGGAAATCAGAATTTGGAAAACAGTCACCTTCCAATACTGCTTGCTGCTTCAAGACTTCCTCAGTTTGGTTTTCATCTTGTCTTCCTACTTACAGGCTCTACACATTCTAGTCTATACAGCATCACAAATAAATCTGCAAAACAAACAAAAACCACACCTCCCCCCCTTACGTTGTGTTGTATTTCTACTTTAAAGCTCTCTCTCTTAATGATTCACTAAGGCTTAAAAGATGAAATTCCCATTCCTCAAGCCCGCACTCAAAGCTGCTGAAATTATACTCTTCCCTATTTATGTTGCAAACATAAACATTTTATTCCACTTAAACTGTACCAACACAAATTGCTGTTTCTTGTCTCCATTGTTTGGGGTTTTTAACCATTTTATCTGAAATACCCTTTCCCCTGTAATATATCTCTCTTTTCCAGCCTTGGTCCAATTTCATACCCTTAATTTGACTACCCAAACTGGGGGTTGACGGGGTTTTTGGAATATAGGAGAGGTTTGGTGGGGTGAGGTCCAGAGCCGATGACCGAGAAAGAATTCTTGAGATGTCTTTGGTGTAAAATGGTGGTTTATTAAAGCACAGTAACAGGACCCAGGGACAGAAAGAGCTGCAGCACTGGAGTCTTCAGTGGTGATTATATACTCAAGAGTTGGGGGAAGTAAGGAAAAGGGAGGTTTCAAAAGAACTTTCATGTGCTAAAGAGGACCTGCCCTCAAGATACCTGCAGCCTTGCTGTTGTGAAGTTAAGGTTGTTTTCCCCTCTAGCAAGGTATTAACATTTAGTTGGGAGATTCCTGGAGGAATGTCACACATGTCCCACCCAAGATGGGGGGGAGGGGGAGGTTGCAGGGTATCAAGTTTATGCTTTGTCTTCAGCTACCCTTCTTGCTCCCTCATCAGGCGTGATTTCTCTATCTGTAGAATTAATGTCAGCAGTTATCAGTCCTATATAACTTACTATCCTGTAGTAGTTAGTTAATGTATCTCATCAGTTTTATATATTGACATACAGCCTATCTTGTCATATGTCAGTCAGTCTTGTAGTATGGTTTATCTTTTTTATATTCATTTATATCCAACTAAGTTCCACATTCCTTAGGGGCAAGTATATTCTATACTTCTTGGATTGTGTATTTCTTTTTATACATACTATTTACACAATAGTTTCTCTTTTTTTTCTTTTTTGAAGGTGGAGGATTATGAAATGTTCTAATTTCTATCACTTAAAACTATAATAAAGTGTAGAGATTAAGAAAATAGTAATAATTGTGGCATATGGAATTCTGTTGGAATTTTGTGTTTAGGACCTTGGGTGGTGACTATGCTTTAGAAATATATCAGGAGAAACATGTGAGATTTACCTATTACTTAATTACCTAATTTTCTTTAAGTCATTTTACTTGAGAAATACATAAAAGAAAAAGTTGTGTAAAACTTTTTTTTTTTTACTCATGAAACCAAAGAAAATCATAAAATTTTGCCAATTAATCTTCCCTCTTTTTACCTTGTGTAAAATGTATTTAATTGGATGTTGGAAACCTGTAAGCAATACTAATAAATATCAATAAATTTTAATAGGAATTTTGACTTAGAAAATCACAAATAAAAGTTGTCGGTCTATGTTTTTTAAGTGTTTATATGTTTTAAATCTTCATATGAAATAAAATTTCATTTCATTTCATTAATTTGATGTCATTCATTTATTTACTTTTGTTTTCTTCTTTTCAAGGCCCTGTGGAATCCTACATGCACTGAAGGTTTATTTAAACCAGTACATATTTCAACCTAGGTGAAATCATTTGACCATAAGCAATGTATCACCAATCTGTGACATGTTAAATATTAAATAAAACCAACTTTCCATCATTCCATATGTTAGCTGTTTCCCAGAGTATTTAATAGAGAAATGTTTCCATTCCAAATATTTCACACTTTCTGCATTTGTACACAATTGCACAAAAAACTGATAGATGAAGATTGAACTCACATATTCCTACCTTATTCTTATTGTATTTTGACAACAACAACAACAAAAGACCTATTTAAAAATTATCTCTATATGCAAGCTATTTCTCAATGTAACATTCCACTTGGCAGTACACATTTTTTGTTCAACCTTGTCATCCATATCCTTTGTCTCTGTGGTAATAGTCTTCATTTAATTTCACCACATATTCTATGCACATTAGGTAAGTTTGAAGACAGTGCTAGTTTCTCCCATCCGAGGGGGACAATTCCTAGTGAAGAACTAAATTATCTGTTTCTCTTGTATTGAGATCAAAAGATGAAAGCAGTATGTCTTCAAATGAAATAAATAATGAAGAGTCTTATTCCACCTACAGAAAATTAAAAACCTCTATTTATATCTCCAAACATGTAAAGAAAGTTTACTGGATACTGACTGACCTCCTATTAAGGGAAGTTTCTTGAGTGTGTCATGAAAGAACACTTGTCTCCTGGATTTGGCATTGCTGCCTGATTTCTGTGCATCCCTGTTTATTGCCTTTCTATAATAGCTTACTTTATTAAATGGCCAAGTGGCAACAGGGCACTCTTGAATGTTGTAGTTTATTGCAAGGGTAAGTAGCACAGCCCAGAAGTGGTTCAGTGCTGTGGGCAGGGTGCAAGGGCAACAGAAGAGAGTCACAGAGCTAAGGAGAAGAAAGCTTTTATGGAGTTCTCTATATTTTGCAAACAGGCAATGAAATCATTGTAATTGTAGTAACAGTCAGATACATGTTATAAAATTTCTTAAATTATTCAAGTCATTATGTAATATAATATGAATGATCAAATGCTGGGTTTAAACCATGGTGTTAAAATAAACTTATAAATGTATTTATTTACATGAAAACATTGTGTGTGTCCTTATTGATTTTGCCCTTAATGCATCCTTTTACAACCTAATATACACAATTTTTTTGTTTCTCTAACAGTTTTCTATAGTTTATTTTGTAAACCTATTCTTATCTCTTCCTTTTTATGGTCTTATTTTATATTTGAAATCTTTCAATGTAGATAAGGTAGAAAACTCCACCACCTACAATAAAGCACCCACCTGGTAAAGATTTTTATCAATGTGAATGGTCAGTATCGTTTTAAAGAAGAAGAAAGAATTTAATTAACAATATTTTGACTAAGATGCAAAGAAAAAAACGTGTATTATTAACTAGATTAAGTCAATAAAGAAAGGTGCTTTTTTTCTTAAAAACAATGTAGCAGAAACTGTCAATACAGACAAAAAAACCCACTTACCTCAAATGGTACAATTTCAAGATTGTTTTTTAACATCAGTGAGACGTTCCAGTGCTGCTTCCTTGGAAAGCATCTCACTCTCACTCGCTTTTTTTTTTTTTTTAAATGGAACTTGGGCAGAATATGTATCAATGAACATGTTTACAGGTTAACAATTTTACTTTCATGGGGAAATGTATTCAGACTTTCTCACATGTTTATTGTATAATTTTGCCGTTTAACTATTAAAATATATTTATTTGATTAATTTGAAAGTGAATTTAAAAAATTAATGGCGGTATTGTCATTGTCTTTAGAAACATGTACAAGAACCATTGTAATTGCTGTATTGTATTCCGGGGTGTTACAAAGCAAGGTTGGTAGTTGACAGTAGGCATCAGAGTATATCTGACAGTTGTAAATAATGCAACTTCAGTGTTTTTTGCCAGAAGGAAACATTATGTTTTACTAGGATTCCTGTGTGTTTCTCTGAAATACTCTAACAGTCACTAACTCAAAATAAGAGAATATTTATTTTCCTAAAAAGGAAAGTGGGATTTGAAGAGGTTAAGTGCCTTTTCTCAAGTTCGTGTAACTTTTATGAGAATATCAAAGTCCTAGATTGTGCTCAGTGTTCCATATCAAAGTCAGGATTTTTATTTTTCTGATTTCAGAATACTGATTGCATGACGGCAAAACTCAATACAAACTATAATCTGGATTATACACATATATAGATAATTGTATATTGTGTATATATTACATGTTATTAAAGATTGAATTTCTCTGAAATCTGCATTATGGATTAGGGATAATTGTGATGATAACGCTTTACTGTGTGAATACCTAAGATGTACAACCTATGAGCCAAGGAAATAATTTTATAATAGAATTATTCATTCAAATAGAAGTGCTTGGAAGGGAAACTATGGCCACTTTTGCTAGGCACCTTAATGATTATTAACACATGTTATCTATAGTTTAAATCATGAAAATTTAATTTGCCATGCTCCATAATACATGCATGTTAAATGTTTTTATTTATTCACATTGAAAAATATGGGCAGCTTATTCCCAGTTAGATTTTTGACATATAGTTGTGTTTTTATTTTTTAATGACAAGCCTAAAATAAGTGTATGTTGTTATACACCTAAGATTTTGTTATAAAACACATAACTTCCTTGCTAAAGTTTTCGAAATGATATCATTTTTCATAATTTCCTAAATTTGATATTGTTTTAAATGGCTGTTAATTTGAAAACAAACTATACTTTCTTTTCCATATTTAACTTGCTGCTAGAGGTGGGAATGTCCAAATTTAACAAAGAGATGCTCATAATGTTGCTGTATTTTGTGCTTATTTGTCCTTATAGGAAATCCAAATATAGTTCTGTGCGGTCTTAACATACATTTTTTTTCTTGAAATATAGTTGATACACAATGTTACATTAGTTTCAGGTGTACAACTTTGTGATTCAGCAACTCTATATGTTATGCTCTGCTCACCACAGTTGTAGCTACCATCTGTCACCATACAGTGCTATGATAATACCATTGACTATTTCCTTATTCCAGTGACATATTCAATCCAAAACTGACAGAGTGTATCTCCCACTGCCCTTTACCCATTTGTCCTTCCCCCAATCCCCTCCCCTCTCGTAACCATCAGTTTTCTGTATTTATGGGTCTGTTTCTGCTTTTTGTTTGTTTATTCATTTGTTTTGTTTTACAGAGTCCACATAAAAGTGAAATTATTTGGTATTTGACTTTCTTTGTCTGACCTATTTAATTTACCATAATATGCTCCAGGTCTATCCATGTTGTCACAAATAGCAAGATCTCATTCTTTTTTATGGCTGAGAAATGTTCCTCTGTGTGTGTGTGTGTGTGTGTATGTAGCACATCTTCGTTCTCCATGCAGTGACACTGGGTTGCTTCTGTATCTTGGCTGTTGTAAACAATTCTGCAGTAAACATAGGGGTGCGTATGTCTTTTTGAATTAATGTTTTTGTTTTCTTTGGGTAAATAACCAGTAGTGTGATTGCTGGATCATAGGGTAGATCTATTTTTATTTTACTTTAATTTCAGCATGGTTAACATACTGCTATAGTAGTTTCAGGTATAAACTTCTATTTTAATTTTTTAAGGAACTTCCATACTGTTTTCCACAGTGGCTGCACCAACTTACATTCCCACCAACAATGCATGAGAGTTCCTCTTCCTCCACATCCTCACCAACACTTGCTATTTCTTGTCTTTTTGATTCTAGCCATTCTGGCAGATAAGAGATAATATCTCAGTGTGGTTTTGATTTGCATTTCCATGATGATTAATGATGTTGGGCATTTTTTTCATGTGTCTGCTGGCCATCTGTATGTTTCCTTTGGAAAATGTCAAGTCCTCTGACTATTTTTTAATTGGATTATTTGGGTTTTTTTGGTGTTGAGTTGTTTAAGTTCTTTATAGAGTGTGGATAATTAACCTCTTATTGCCTGTATCACTTATGAAAATCTTCTACCACTGAGTAGATTACCTTTTCATTTTGTTGATGGTTTCTTTTGCTGTGCAAAAGCTTTTTATTTTGATGTAGTCCCAATAGTTCATTTTTACTTTTGTTTCTCTTGCTTGAGGAAACATATCCAGAAAAATGTTTGAATGGCTGATGTCCAGGAAACTATTGCCTATGTTTCTTCTAGGAGTTTTATGTTTTTACGTCTCATATTTAGGCCTCTAATATTTTTTTAAAGATTTTATATATTTATTTAACAGAGAGAGACACAGAGAGAGAAGGAACACAAGCAGGGGGAGTGGGAGAGGGAGAAGGAGGCTTCCCTCCAGGCAAGGAGCCCGATGTGGGGCTCGATCCCAGGACTCGGGGATCATGACCTGAGCAGCAGGCAGACACTTAACAACTGAGCCGCACAGGCGCCCCTAGGTCTCTAATTGATTTTGAGTTTATTTTATTTACTTTAAGATTTTATTTTTAAATAGTATCCACGCCCAGTGTGGGGCTCTAACTCAAAACCCCGAGATCAAGATTTGCATGCTCTATTGACTGAGCCAGTCATGCAACCCCATTTGGGGTTTATTTTTGTGTGTGATGTAAGAAAGTGGTTCAGTTTCTTCATTTGCATGTAGCTGTCCAGTTTTTTCAGCATCAGTTATTGAAGAGACTGTCTTTTTCTATTGTTTATTCTTACCTCCTTTGTTGTAGACTAATTGACCATCTAAGCCTGGTTTTATCTCTGGGCTCTCTATTCTGTTTTGTTGAATAATGTGTCTGTTTTTGTGCCAGTACCATACTGTTTTGATTATTACAGCTGTGTAGTATATCTTGAAATCTGGAATTGTGATATCTCCAGTTTTGTTCTTTTTCAGGATTGTTTTGGCTATTCAAGGTTTGTGTGGTTTCTTACATATATTAGGATTATTCTACTTCTGTGAAAAATGCTGTTGGTATTTGATTACATTGAACTGTAAGATTGCTTTGGTTAGTATAGACATCCTAACATTATTAATTCTTCCAATCCATGAGAATGGTATATCTTTTCATTTTGTTTTTATGTGATCTTCAGTTGCTTTCATCAGGATTTTATAATTTTCAGAGTATAGGTCTTTCACCTCCTTGGTTGGGTTTATTCTAGGTAATTTATTCTCTTTGCTGCAATTCTAAATTGAATTGTTTTCTATAACTCTCTTTCTTTTACTTTGTTGTTAGTGTATAGATATGCA